GGGTTTAAGGTTTGTGTTTTTAAATGTTTGCCATGAAAAGTTCTTAAATATATTTTTTAATCAAAAAATTATTTATTTATCTAACCATTTTTTGACTAACCACTTTTTTGTCTAACCCTTTTTTTACTAACCCTTTTTTTGTTCATTTCAAAACAAAAAGGATTGAAAACATCCTTGCACACAATATTTGGTCTATCATAAAATTATATGGTTTAAAAATCTGAAATCTAGATCTTCTGGAAATTAATTTACCTAACCCTTTTTCTTTTGTTGGGAGAATGGAGGTTCCCAGTATTTGATCTTGCCAGAATATTAAAGAATTGAAGATCCAACATATGATCTTCATGGATAATTAATTTTATTTTTCTGTATAAAAATATAATATTCTGGGTACACAATGTAACAAGTTTTAATAATAAAAAAAGAGTAACCCCTCTGTTTTCTTGATAAACCGAGATAAAATAGGCCATAGTTTTTTTTAATTAATAAAAGTGCAGAAATTGGGGATCGAACCCATGTGCTAAATTTTTTTATCTCGGTCTTAAAAATGCTGAGGTGTTAAGTCCATACTTTTCATGACGACCTTATTTACCTCACTTCAGATGCCGAGGTAAAACACATTTCACGTCCGACATCAGATGTGTTTTTTGTAGTAGTGTACCCTACACATACCATACACATCACACAGATAATCACCAATAATTTACAAATAATCAATTAAATAATTAATTCTAAATTACAGGGTGTTACACAAATAATCTTGTTGGATTTTGAAGGTTGTGATGAGTGCAAGAACCAGTTCCTCCGAAAAGGGTTCCAGTTCTTCGACTGCCTCTGGTGGCTAATCTTTTGTTCAACCTGCTGATCAAATCCTTTGACAAATTACTGCCACTTTTTTGAGTGCAAGAACCATATTCCTTCTGTAACATCAAGGAATTACTGAAACAGGTGGATATTCTAAATGTTTCCCCAGAGTTTGTAAATATCACTGTCGAACTCGAATTCTTTCTAGACCATGTTTATGTATATCTTTTGCGCAAGCAAGATGTTTCGAATAGGATTGGAAACAAGTTGGAAACTCAAGTGGCTGAGTGAGATGTAGCCACTGAATATACCACTAAGGTTGAGGAGCTCGAGAAGTATTTTCACAGAATAAAAAAGAGTTTGATGACTGTGCTACCAATATTTCTATTTGGGAAGAACATATTAAAGCGCTGCAAGCCAACATTTAGAAAGCCAGGGATCGCCATGAGGAAATCAACAAACTCGACCGTAAGCAGCTTGATGAGGAGATCAAAGTAGGCGTTTACCATGTCAAGATAGCTCAAAAATTGAGAGCATAGATTGATACCCTTACTCTGAACAAGTATGTGATCGAACGTCGTCTGTTGGTTTCTACTGAAAAGTATAAGCGAATGAAGGCTTCTCTCCCACCTAATTTTGGTGCTTAGTGAAATGTAGCAGTATTTTTGTTCTTTTTATAAATTTGAATTTTTTGGTGATGTGTAACGAATAGCTAAGCCATTTTGACAACCTTTGTATTACCATTTTGGATTTTTTTTTTTGCATTTCGTTTATTCTGTTAATATTTTGACTTCCTGAAGTATAGGTTTATATTTTTTTCAAATACTTACCATTTACTCTCAGAAGTCTTTGATCTTCTGCTAACTCTTCAATCTCGTAAGCGTTATTCAAAAAGATTTGGATAACTTGGAATGAGCCTTTCCAATTTGGGGACCATTTACCCAATATTCTATCTTTTCAATCCATGGGTAGGATTACTTTCAATACCAACTCCCCAGTCGAAAAACTTTAACCTAGTTGATTGGAGACAAATTTCGACTGGTAACACTGCGTCATGCCCATAAGTCAATCGAAAGGGCGTAACATTGGTAACCTCTTTAGGAGACGTTCAACAATCCCAAAGAATTTGATCCAAGGTTTTATGCCAATTCTTTGGCTTTTCCCCCACATTCTTCTTTACTAAACCAATCACTACTTTATTTGCTGCTTCGACTTGACCGTTCACCTGAGCATAATAAGGCGTAGATGTTAGGGATTTAATCCCTACCTTTTTAGTAAATTCTTGCATCTTTCGACCAATGAACACTGACCCTTGATCGGTTTTAATGGTCTCAGGGATTCCAAATGTGTAAATTATGTTCCTTTGAATAAACTCAATCACTTCCTCCTGATAAACATTCACCAAAGGAATGGCCTCGATCCATTTAGTAAAGTAATCAATCCCTACTAAAATGTATCTTTGACCTTTGGACGATGTTGGTCGAATTTCGCCGACCATATGTCTTTGGTTACTTACAGGATCAACTAGATTGATCCTAGGACAATAGTGTATAGTTTTTGTTTTAGGTTTTATGGATATTGATTTCTTTGTAAGTAAAAGTGAATTTGAAATTAGTAACAAGACGATTTATGAAAATGACAGGAAGATAAATGAGTTTTGACTGGAATTTAAAAAGAATGTAAATAACTTTAATGAAAATAAACTGATATTGAAAGTAAATATGGTGCTTCATACGTACATTTCTCAGAAACTCATTTCTCAGAAACTCATTTCTCGATAACACTTTGGTACTTTGAGTAAACATGAGTAATTTTTACAATATCGAACACAGAATCCTAACACTAAAAACTTCTATTTATACTAATTCGACACGAACAATCTTCTCTTTAGAATATGGCACGTTTTCGCGTGAATGCGTTCTACCCTTCACATGCTTCCACGTGTCTCTTTTCAAAAGGAACATATAAGGCCAAAATTTAGTTATTAACCTCATTCCAAAATATCTCTGTCGAACTTGCTTTGAAACATTCTCAAAACGCTAAATTTCGACCTTGTACCATTTCACCAAAACTTCAGTCAAAATGTCATCATTTACTTCTGTCAAAAACAAACTTAAAACATCTCCAATACTCTTGATTTCTCTTCAAAAGCCTTTGCCATTATTCAAACTTGAGCGTCAAATTTCCAGCTAACACTCTCCTAATCATAAATCATGATAATAGTGATCTAGAGCTTATTATTGCTCTCCCACCTTACCTTTAACTCATCCACTGCCCCACTCCCCTCCCAATTCCCCTCACAATACCAATATTTTGCATCCCACCTCTCCTACTCATCCTCTTGTCCTTACACCACCCCCTTTTATCCCCCCACCATCCTCACGGGAAAATCAACAAGACAAATTAAACCGTATTCTACCTCAATAAATTCCATTACAATATTCTTCCTACTTAAAATCCCCCCACTAATGTTACCACCACACAGACCTTTCCTCCCACTTCTGTTCTTACCTACAATCAATGCAACACCAATTACAATTTTTTAACCTTTCTATATCCTCCACCACCGAACCAACCATCTTTTCCCAAGCTAGAAAACACGAATGCTGACTCCAAGTCATGCAAACATAATTACAGGCCCTTAAGCTTACCAACATTTGGTCCATTGTTGGTCTACCCCCTCATAAGACACATATAGGTTGTAAATGGGTTTACCATATTAAATATCTTGTTGATGATAGTATTGAGAGATACAAGATAGATTGGTCACAAAAGGTTATATCCGAGTAGAGGGTGTAGACTATTTTTGATATTTTTTCTTCTGTCGCAAAATTAAGCACTATAAGAATTCTCCTTTCTTTAGCCTTTATTAAAAATTGGCATCTAGAACAACTAGACGTCAATAATATTTTTCTCCAGGGAGCTCTCCATGAATAAGTTTATATGATCATACCCATAGGCTATAAACTTCCTTCTTTATCTCCCCCACTAAAATTTACAAACTTAACAAAAGTTTGTATAGCATCAAATAGGCCAGTCGACAATGATACTCTAAATTATCTGAAACTTTATTATCTCTTAGTCGACAATGATACTCTAAATTATCTGAAACTTTATTATCTCTTAGTTATATTTATTCAACTGTAGATTATTTCTTGTTTATCAAATTTCACGATAACCATTTTCATGCTTTATTATTTTATGTGGATGACATCGTCTTAACGGCTACAACATAAATGAACAATTTGTCAAAGCCATTCTTCATAACAAGTTGTGTATCAAGGATTTAGGCCCACTTTGATTCCTTGGTCTTGAAGTGGCTCAATCCTTATCAGGTATTATACTTAATCAACACAATTACACCTTTGAATTGTTAAGCAAACAAGGTATGTTGGCTTCTAAACCTTCCTCCACTCTTTATAATCTATCTCTTAAACTTTATTGCACTAATTTTGCCTCATTCCATGATTGCACACAATAGTCTCACCACAACTTGTCCTGATATCTCTTTTGTTGTCTAAAAACTTAGTCAATTCATTTCTCATCTCACTGATACTTTCTACAAGACAATTAGAATACTGCAATATTTAAAAACCAATTGGGCTCGAGGACTTTTTTACCCTGCCGATTCTGATTTAATTCTCTTTGGTTTTGTAGATAGTGATTAGGCAACATGCCCAACAACAAGAAGATCAATAACAAGATTTGCTATTTTCTTTGGAAAATCATTTATCTCATGGAAATCTAAGAAGCAAACAACCGTCTCCCGCTCTAATTCAGAAGCTGAATATAAAGCACTTGCCTCACTCACATGTGAAGTCCTATAGATGCACTACCTTTTCAAAGATCTCCACATTAGTTTCACCAAACCAACATCTATCTAATGTGACAACCTCGTTAAACATCATTGACAAATGAAGAATAAAATAAAATGCTAGTAATAGGAACTCATCATGCCTCTACATTAGTGTCAAATCAAAGAGAAGAATAAGAATGAAGAAATGCAAGGAATCAAAGACTATAAACATACATATACTAATGTCAAAATTTCAACTAGTAAAAAACAAATCCCAAGAAAATAAAATCCATCCTTAGCTCCATTATCACACACTCTAAATTACTCCTAAATATTTTTCTACATTAAGATATCAAAACCAAGATAATATCCTTTTTATTTGATTCCTTTCTTCCATGAACTATCTTCCTTGAACAAGTCCACTGAATACTTGACTGTTTCCAGCTAGTGTTGCTTCCCACTCAATAGAAGAGAGTAGAATCTGTGAGATGGAAATCACTACTTGTTTCATATCAGGTCGTAAGATCGGATCGTCGTCCACACATTGCTTCGCTAGCATAGCCATCTACGCGCACACAAAATACAACACAACAAGAGTAAATCACATCGGTTAAACCTCAAGCAAATTGTTAGAACACGTATGGTTAGGATTTTTATTGCTCAAGCTTAGGATTAGAGATTACAACTTATGTTTAAATATTACGGTCTAGTTTACGAGATTAACATATCAGAATACGATATTGAATAAGAGAAGTAGGAGAAAATAGAGAAACTTGCCTTAAATACACAATCATGAGGATACAGATTCATCATATTTGGATCAATGTAATCTCTCATGCTTGACATGCTCAAGGAATCAGGTGAGTTCTTAAGAACCGCTAACATCTGCAATTTAACATACATATAAGGCTAAACCTCGGAAAATTGTACATCTGAGACTCACTGCGGCACGCCATCGTGAATGAAAATAAGGAGCAATGAAGAGGTTAAAGAAAGTACAAAATCAATAACTAGTACCGAGAAAAACACATTCGATCTTATATTTACTAGCTACTCAAGCCCTTATAAAATGCATTCGCAGCAAATGACTTATAAGCAGAACTTACAATTGAGGCCAGCGACCGTCTTTCAGGATTTTTTGTCATCATGCCTTCTGTTCGAATAATAGCCTCCTTTCCAGTTATAATCTCAAAAACAACAACACCAAATGCATAGACATCACTTTTGATCGTTGCAAGGCCGTCAGTCAAGTATCTGCGATATATAGAAAATGTTTCTATATTATTCTTTTTTATGAAGGTGGAACAAATAAGAACTAAAAAAATCTCAGCAACTTACTCTGGAGCAAGATATCCATATGTACCAACAACTTTGGTAGTAGAAACGTCTCCCTCGTTTGTTATCCCGACAAGTTTCGCCAATCCAAAATCTGATATCTAGAGAAACAACGAGTAATTCGTGATGAATGACAATCAAGAAAAGTGAAAAATATAGAAAGTGTTTGATAATGTAGAAATTTGTCAGTACTTTTGCTTTAAAGGAAGCATCAAGTAAAATGTTGCTCGTCTTGATATCGCGGTGAACATAATGAGCTTTTGTGTGTTCATGTATATATTCAAGTCCCCTAGCAGCATCAAGTGCGATTTGGACCCTCATGATCCAAGAAAGTGGCGAATGACCTATAAGCAAAGATAAATAATGGTCATGAATTATGGTTCTGTGTTGATAAACAACATAATAAGCGCTTATAACATAACTGCTTATACTTACCCTTATTCTGAGGATCATGCAAATGGCTTCTAAGTGAACCCTTTTGAGCATATTCATAAACTAGGAAAAGCTCGTCGTGACTAGCTGCATAGCCAATCAATTCTACCTTGACAAATTAACAAAAAAAATACAACTCAAACTTTCAATATATATAAATGATTCACATTTGGCTTCAAAATCAAAGTGTGTTATATATTATGATCAAAAGAGAAATTACCAGGTTAGCATGATGAACCTTGCACAGAACTTTAACCTCTGATGTAAACTCTTTTGTTTTTGTAGCTGTCATTCTTTTAATAGCAACTTCCTAGAAAGATAAGTAAAAATCGTATGAGAAAAATACATGCTTTTTAGTTCATACTATAATTGACTTTAAATATTCGGTCACGAACCTGGTCGCGGAGGAGGCTATAGTACACAGATCCATATGTTCCATGTCCAAGTAGATTTGAATCAGAGAAACCTTCCGTTGAGGAAAAAATCTCTTCATATGCAAAAACTACCGGTTTATCCATGTCAAATACGTCAGGTCCAAGAGCTGCAATAAATAATAAAAGTAAGCATATATATAATACACGCAAAACATGATTGATTACTTTGAGCTACGATCATAGATATAATGTACAGCTCGAGAATACGATAAGAACGTTACTTGAAGCTTTTGGAACGGTAATCGTGTGATTGCTAGAGTCACCGTCTGTCTGCTTCTGGTCAACATGTTTACCACATATGTACCTTCCAGAACCACAAAAAAAACTTGGGTTCCGAAGAATATGGAATTTATGAGAGACCTTTCGCTCATCATCTTTTTCATGACTTCTAGAATCAGAGAAACAACTCAACGATTTAATGCAAACACATAGAATGATGCCAAATATTATCAGAATAAGACCAACTCCTAAACCCCCAATGATCCATCCAAAGGGTACATGATACTTATGATTAACCTCATCACCTGTAACAAAGAAATTAAATAAATAAAGACAACATTCTATTATAGCACAAAATAGTTTTCTTTTTTGTATCACATGTTGATGAATACCTGAAAAATTATCAACAGAAGGGGTAGGAACAGAAGCTGGTGGAGAAGCATTGTTCACAAGATAAGGATCACCAGGAACTGCAATGAAGTAAAAATAATTCAAATTGTAGTCCAAATGCTCACATTCAACCCAATTGCCATAAGACCAAGGCGCTGCAAAACGTTATGTAGAACTAAACTCATCCAACATAGGACTCTTAACACACCTATCTCACGCAGTGTTACTCGAGTAACCTGGTGGAAGGCGGCCTAATGAAGCTTGAATAATTTCTAATAGCATCTTAAAATTTGATTAGGTCTAACTCAACAGGACAAAACCAACTTATAAGTTTATAAAGACAGATCATATCGGCTATGGCATCCAATAAGGGGATTTTAGCACATCCCTCAAACATACATACACATGCAAATTCTAAGAAAATTGATTGAATAAGATTGCAATAAAGGAAAGACTAACCAGAATTAAGAGGAATATAATAAAGTGAACCGACAGTGACATTATCAGGTCCATCAAGACCATTCACATCCTCAATACTATCCATACTAACCCCAAATCTACTTGCCAAAGATTCAACACTATCTCCATCTCTCAACACATAACTCAAGAAATAGTTCCACAATCCACTAGAACATCCACAAAACAACCTCAATGATATCACAGCACCATTCCTGGCTTTCCTTGAAGTGTTGGGAAGCAAAATAAGCCCATCATAGGCCTCCATCACCAAATCATCCACAAACCCTTCATTGGATTTCACAGTGTAAGTTGTATTAGACACATATTTCTTTATACCAGATGCACAAGAACAGTTCTTCCTTATGAATAGATAATCCCAACCATTTCCTTCAACTGTGATGTCACTTTGCAACACATCAAACATGCTTTGAATCACTCCCAAAGACTGGTTTTTGTTAGGCTTATAGGCCATGAAAGAAGTACAAACACGGCTTGTATCCGTACAGTTCATAGGTGCCATCTGATAAGAACTGATTCTGTTGAAATGAAGGTAAACTAAAAAGAGAAGAAACTGAAGTAACTTCAAATGAGGGTTTTTTCCTAGAAGAATCATTGCTTGGAGATAAACAAGGGACGAAATTTAGAAACAAAAGGGTCAAAGAAAATGGTGGAAATGGAACCACTTTCAGGTCAAGGGATGTAAAAGAGCTTAAGCTGTGTTTTAATGGAGAAAAAAATAAAGGAAACAACTTGATCTAGATTTGAAGAAAAATGGCAAAACCCAATATAAATTCAGCTAAGAAAAAAATCAGATTGAGATGAAAACAGCTTAAAAGAAGTAGCTTTTTTGATGAAAGATGACAAAAGAAAAAGAAGAAGAAAAATCCAAGATGAGAGAATAGAAGTTGAAAAGAAGAATATTAGGAGAAGAAGGGAGTGTAAGGAAAATGGGGTATGCTAAATTTAAGAAGCAAGTTAAGTGAAGAAAAAAAAAGTGGTACTTTGAAGGTAAAGAAGTGAAGAAGAAAAGAGTGTAAAAAAACAGAACATTAGTGTTTTAATGTTAATGTTAATGTTTTTGGAGTCATAACTCAAGTAAACATGGTTTAATGAAGACAGTAAAAGTAGAAAGTGACTTGAAAGTATAAAGTTTTCAGAGCCATAGGTATAGGTGTTTTGTTGAGTTTTTTTTAGTATTTATTTATTGACTATTACACCCTTTCTTCTACTCAAAGAACAATGGATAGAATATCTTGTGTAATGTTGTAGGAATAGGATCAAGATTAATGTGAAGATTGACTTAACTAGTAAAAGGTAAGTTAATCACGATGATAAAACGTTGTTTGTTTGTTTGTTTAAATTACTAAATTGTTGCTTTTTAGTATGTTGATTTGTAGGTTAAAAGTGTCATTGCTCAAAAGATAAAAGCTATTGTGATATTAATTTATTCATTTAATTGCACTTGTACTTGATAAAATGTCTTTTTGTTTTTGTTTTTAAAAGCATTAATCTCATGACAATTTTTATTGTAGATCTATTTATATGCTTGTTCTTTATTATGGGATAGTGAGAATTGATTATAAGTTGTCATTTTATTAAATTGATTTGAATGTAAAGTATTTTGTATTTGGATCATTATTTAAAAATGAGTGGAATAATAATGTGTTGTTTGGTTTTAAGATAAGAAACTAAATAAGATAAATGTATTATATCATAATTTAGTGTTTATTGACAAAATAAAATATGATAAATTAATTCTAAAATTTATCATATATTATATTTATAATTCAAATATTAATACTAAATTTAAACTGAGATAAAAAAAATAAATCCATCATTTATATTTAAAATATATAATATTATCTCTTTCCTTAATTATAAGATCATCTTAAGTTTTTTTCTTATTCTTTTTTATAATACTCTCTTAAATTTTTAAAATACATTAATTATTTTTTTCTAAACATATTCTTAATTATATTATATATTTTTTCTACAATTTGTAATAAATATAGTTACACATTCATTAATTATTTCTCTCTCCTAAAGATAAACTTGTAAAACTATATAAAATAGTCAATAAATTTATTACTTTATTGCTCTAACAAATTTTCTTAATTTCTGTAATTTATTCATCGGAGTCTTATATTTAAGGATGAATATAATATAATATTAAAAAATAATATAATATATATAATTAATATTAAATGAAAAAAACATTTCCAAAATTAAAAACAATAATTTACCGAAAATAGATTATATAAAATTAAACATATTATTAAAATATGAATGAATATTAATTTCATTTTTATATGGAAATAATTTTATTGCAATGATAGGTTTTTCATTTAAATATATATCTTATATTTATTTAAATTATAAAGGAAAAAATTTATGTGCATTTGGTTTATGTTTTTTTTAAAAATGAAAATATGACAAATATATAGTTTTTCTTACAATTATGCAATTCTTCTTATTTTTACTTTTTAAAAGATATTTAAATATATTTATCATATTTTTATGAGAGAAAAATATGAACTATATCTATGAAATTGTATCTAAGTATTCTCCAAAATAAAATTGATTATTTAGTATTGTCAATTGATATTTTTAAAAGTCACTACGCCAAAAACTGCTTTTTGCAGCGCCTCTACTAAAGCGCTTATTGAAAAAGCGCTGCCATAGCCTTCACAAAAAACAAAATTAAAAAAAAGGGAAACCTACGAAGGCGCTTTTTTAAAAGCGCTGGCATAGGGTTCCCTACGAAAGCGCTTTTCAGAAAGCGCTTTCATAGGTATTTGAAATATCTAACCTACGAAAGCGCTTTTGAAAAGCGCTCTTATAGGGAACCCTATGCCAGCGCTTTTGAAAAGCGCTTTGAAAGGGGGACCTACGAAAGCGCTTTTTACCTCAGAAGCGCTCTTATAGGGAACCCTATGCCAGCGCTTTTTAAAAGCGCTTTCGTAGGTTGTTTTTATAATAAAATTAAAAATCCCTAAATCTGTTCTTTAGTCTTCTTCATTTCTTTCGTTCAGAGCTTCCTCATTTCTGCCGTCGCCGCCGTTCGTCTTAAGCTTTTCAGCCTCCGTTGGTCACCCCCACCGTCTACACCCTTTCCAACCACAATTCCGCTCCATCAACTCCTTCCAGTACACCTACAACGAGCTTCCCCTGTCTTCCTCTAGCTATGCCACCATTTCCGGTATCTTAGAAGTGAAACGCTTTGCATCAATCTCAGTTATCATCATCAGGTATCATCAATTCTTCACTACCCAGATGCTAATTCCTCTTTAATTATGCTTTGTTCAAACAATTTCTTCAGTTTTTCAATGCTTACTTGTTGAATGCTGAATATTGACTATTGAAGTTGATAAGTTTTTTTGGTGTTTTTTTTTGTTACTAGCTTTGAATTGGGTCAAGATACTGTGAAACTTGAAAAAGAGGTTAGTCCATGTGTGATTGTGAATGATCCTGTGAATTGAGTTGATTGATGTGAGTGAGTCTGTTGAATGTGAATGTATTGGTTTTTTTAAATCTATCTTCTGATACATGGTGGCACAATTTCTTTGATTCCATAGTGGATTGATCAAAAAATAATTTGTTTCTTAGGCCAAAATCATACATTCTATGCAAAAAAATGGATGTTAGTGTTGCTAATGGTTGAAGTTTATCCCATTTTGGAGGAAATTTAAGGACTAAAGTCTTGTGCAAGTCACTTGTTTGACAGTTTGCTTGAAAAGAGACAAAAAAGACTATTCTCGCCGGCACGAAGCTATTCTCGTTTTTGTTCTGATTCCTCATCCTCGCCGGCACGAAGCTTTTTTCGTCTAGAGTCGTATCAAAAGGTATGTTTCAAAATCCTTGCCATTCATACATTGCTTCTGTTCGATTTGTCTGTGTTGCCGGGAATCTTGTTTTGTATCTTGCACGCAAACTGTTCGATAAAGTGAGGAATATTGTTTTGTGTTGTGGAAGTAATGTCTGACTCAAAGCAACTAGCTAGGAACTAGTAATATTTTTGCTATTTGATTTTCCATTTTTGAACTTGGTATAGAGATGTAGAATGATGTTTAGGATTTGATTTTCAACTGATAGTGCATGAATTGCAAAGAAGCTTGTGGTTTGAATAAAATGATGTTCACTATGGTGGTGACACATTTCTTGATGCAGCTTCTACAGCACCTTCAATCTTATTAATGCAAGATTTATAGAGAAATCCTAGATAATCCACTAAGTTGTTCTCTGATACATCTTCAAGAGGATTAATCTCAAAAGACCATTGAATAAGAGTTGATTCATCTCCATAATCAACTAGTTTTAGTGAATTTACAGAACCATCCAAACCAACATTACTTGCTTCCATTCTATAAACATAGCTATACGATGAAGACTCCTTTGAAACCAACCTCTCTTTGATCCATGACCTTTCTCCATCTTGTTGAGGAAACATGAAACCGGAAACTAGCCTAACATACCCTGGTTCATCTTCATCTCCAGCTAAGGTGGTGCATCTTTCCACCATTGGCAGCCATTGTGGAAGATTCTTAGTTTGAGAGACTATAGTCCAAACTTTGTCAATAGGTGCACAAATTATGCCACTAATTGAACCATGCCATTTTCCATTTCCTATTTCAATAGCCTGCAAGATATAAGTTAATGTTAAAGTACTATCATACTATAACTGTATAACAGAATGTACTAATAATAATGAATCATATCAGGACACATTTACATACCATGTGTATGTTCTGATTATAGTAACTCAGGCCTAATATAGCTTTTTATAGTAAAATCCTTATTTTACATAATATGAATGCGGGATATTCGAGGCAAAATTTTGTCATGTTCATTGGATAAAAGACAACAAGTTTCTGGTGCTTTCATTTCAAGACTGATAACTCCAAAGACAGACTTAGATTTTTCCACCATTTCTTAGGTATTAAACATTTACATGTTATTGTGAGGCTTAAGAATTTGTTCCATAGTGAATTAATGCATACATCACTAGGTCATATTCTGGATTTAAAGTTTAAAGATATGACCGAGGTCTTACCATTATTGTATAGGTTATATGATTGAGCACTAGTGATAGGATTTATTCAGTGATTGGATTGAGCAGGTTTTAAATAATGGTGGATGTCAGCACAAAGATTTTCGCAATTTTGATCAATACAGATATTCCAATACTAATTTCAGTTGTGGCGGTATGAATTAAGCACAATTAGTTTTTTAACATCAAACCAGTAAATAACTATATCAGTATTGACAGCTTCTTCCAATACTGTATCGTCCCGCTCATGACCGTTTTTAAAACATTGTGTAGCTTCTTCTAATCTGTTAACTTAATCTGCTGTGTTTTTTTCCTGTCTTGATTAAAGTTGAAGGAATAGTCCAATGGTGACTTTGTGAGCTTAGTTTTTAGTTTTTGTATATAACCAAAATGGTGTGTGTAGTCAGATTAAATCAGTGGACTTCTTGATGCCTTTGTTACATTTTATTTGAACATTATGAGAACTTAAACTATTGCAGTATTATTTTTCTGTCATGATTAAGTTTGGGGGTGTAATCAAAATGAAAAGCTTGGCCATGTTAGTTTTTTCCAGATGGGACTCTGCT